CATCGCATGAAATTACCATACCTTCCAACATTTCTCCTATGAAAATAGGACTATCTTATTCCACAACAACAACAACAACAACAACAAATTCTTTATTATTTATACCCCGCCCATCGGACTGGGTTGCCCCAGTCACTCTGGACAACTTTCAACATATATTAAAACATAACAAAACATTAAACATTTTTTTAAAAGAACTTCCTTATACAGGGCTGACTTCAGATGTCTTCTAAAAGTTCTATTGTTACTTATTACCTTGGTTTGGGGGTTGCATAACTCCATACCCTCCAACATTTCTTCACTGAAAATAGGGGTGTCCTACCATACCCTTCAACATTTCTCTGACGTCCTAAGAAAAACCGGGATGGCTTCTGTAAATCCAGGACTGTCCCTGGAAAATAGGGACACTTGGAAGGTGTGAATTACTCTTTGTTCAGCTTGGCTACATAGAGCAGAAAAGAAAGAAATGAGATTACAGTACAGTACATTAAATAAAAACTAAACAAATCCCCACAATGCATGCATGAGGGAAATGAACCAAACAAAGACAACTACCAGACCTTTAGAAGACATCTGAAGGCAGCCCTGTTTAGGGAAGCATTTAATGTTTGACAGACTATTGTATTTTAATATTTTGTTGGAAGCCGCCCAGAGTGGCTGGGGAAACCCAGCCAGATGGACAGGGTATAAATAATAAATTATTATATTATTATAATTAAATTGACTGGAATTACCAGTGTGAGTTTGTAGGGCAGTTTCAAAGTATGGTAGTTTGGTCATTCCCTCAAGAAAAAAAGAGTTTTACAGCTTGTCTGAGTGAGGGGTGGGGGGCAGACAATGCGATTCCCGAATTGCAAGCCTTCAAACCAGCCTTGCCTTTCAAATTCAGTGACAGCTATTCTAATGTGTCATGTTTTATTGACAGAGCTATGTCACATTGCTGAAGGGGAATTATGATAATTCTGCATTTTGAGTAAGCTGCTTGAAATGTTATTGCTTTAATATTTAGTTTTCATACCAATGTACATAATAAAATGACCAGAGGGGGTAGCTGTGCTTGCTGCAACAGGTGATTACTAAAACACATTATATAAGAAACAGCAAAAAAAACACAAGTATTATAGCACCTTAAAAGATCAACAAATTTATTATGGCACAAGCTTTCCTGAACTACAGTCCACTTCATAACCTTTCCATGCACGATGAAATAGACTGTAATTCATGAGAGCTTAGTCATAATCAATTTCTTAGTCTTTCAGGTGCAACAAGACTTTTTGTTGTTTGTAATACAGTAAATTTCAGCCATCACCTTGTCATTAAAAACTCTAACTGCCCTGATTTTTCAGGCCTGCCATGGAAAAAGTACAATCAAGCGCTGAATACAATTACACAAATATCCCCAGAACAGGTAAACCTGAGGGGGCAATAGCAAACCTGTGACTCACCAGACTCCCACAATATCATGCCTATTCCTTGGCATTGACGGCTACAAAGAAAGGATACTTCTTCACTACCATTGCATCTTTAGAAGGTCCAGCCAGCAGAGCAGGGCCTATTCCAGCTGGGGCTGGCCAATGGGGTGGTGGTGGTATGAGAGTTCTCAGAAGTATGCGGTGACATGTTCTCAAGACATTCAGAGAATAAAACCAGTTTCGTCCACCTTGCCTTGGATGCCGCCAATTTTCAGTCAATGAGTGTGTCTGGAGCACCATCTGGTCCTGTCTTGCAGGACAAGTTTTGGGTATCACAGCTTGAATGTGTGGACGAAGCGCCTGGAGGGGAATGACCGATTGAATGTTTGCTCAGCCCTTCATGGCTGATAGCATCTAGCTCAGTGGGGTGGACCTTCTGGGAGCAAGGGTGATTGATGCCTCTTTGCCAGCTGCCTGGAAAGAGGTAGAAATGATGAGCCTGTATCTGGAAGTCAGCAATAGGCTGGATGAAGCCCAATCAATAGCCTGCTTCTGATTTTCTCTTTGCCCAGGCAGGCACATTATGTGACTCATGAGAGCAGCAAAATAACCAGACTGTACAATGGTGATGCGATAAAATCAGGCCAAATCTTTATTGACAGCAGTGGGCAGGGCAAGTGTTGGCATGGCACTAGGTCCCAGGATCGGATCATCATTCTACAAGCCCCATGTTGATGGAATGGTTCTGCTGGGTTTGGATCGCTCCAAACCTGTGTGATGGGAGTCAGCTAGTGTTGAACCTTGCAGTGATGCAAGCCAAGCAAGCAAGGTGTCACTGGGAGACCAGGAGGCAGATTCCAATGAGGAAGATACCAAACCCATGCTTAGGTTTTGCTGTGGTCAATGCTCCCCTCAGGCCCCTTACGCCCCCCCCAATACTATGTTGATCCTGACCAGTGCCATTTCCACCCTCATACAAACAATGTTCTTCCACCTAACACAGGAAAACCATAATTTCACTGAGGGAAAGGCTGGGGGGGGGGGCAACCCAACCAAGTGCTAATCAGGTAGAGAGAGAGAGAGAGAGAGAGAGAGAGAGAGAGAGAGAGAGAGAATCCTTTCCTACCCTGTCAACCAGTGACCCAAAATTGCTCAGTGAAGGCTCTAACCCAAGGGTGGGCAGGTGGGAAGCTCTCAAAGCAAAATGGCTGTGAGCTCCAGGGGAAGTAGCCTTATACAGTGGTACCTTGAGTTACAAATGCCTTAGGTTACAAACGCTTTGGGTTACAAACTCCGCTAACCTGGAAGAGTTACCTCGAGTTGAGAATTGTGCCCCAGGATGAGAACGGAAATCGGGTGCCGACGGCGCAGCAGCAGCAAGAGGCCCCATTAGCGAAAGCACGCCTCTAGTTAAGAACAGTTTCAGGTTAGGAACGGAGCTCCGGAACGAATTAAGTTTGTAACTAGAGGTACCACTGTATAGGCTTTCCTCTCCCCTCTTCAGCAAGGGCTCATGAGAAAGTTTTTTCCCATGAGCCCATCACACAGAGAAGATACTGGGCAAAACCATGCCCAGTATTTTGCTACAATCTATGGGCACAGTGCCACCGGGCAAAGGTGTCCCGTGCTTATTGGGCACAGAACGGGGCTTCCCTCACCAATCCTCTTTAGTGGCAGAATGTGCTTTAACATATTAGGCTACAAGAGAAATCTCACATGATGCTGTCTTGTGACATTACGGTGCTTGTAAAAAAGCTTACCGTATATTATGCTAAAGTTTTTGCTGCTGTTTTATGGAGTCTGCTTTATAAGTTTTAAATGGCTTTAAGTGTAAGGTATTGTTCTTTTGGCTGGTTTTGTTATGTGTCATACTCAAAGAAATTTGTATGTCACCTGGAGACTCCTTCTGTGGCAAGCGACTAAAAATTGGAAAAATAACAACACTTTCCACCTACCACCTTGAAAGCCTTTCCAATTAATACAAAGCAGAGCAAAAACCTATGTAAAAATATTTTTACATAGTGCGTGCTTGTGCGCATGCGCACGCACATACACACACTCTTCAAAAATTATGAAACTGATATCACGATATGGACTTGAAACCGGTTGTGGACAATTTATTGCCCATCCCCAGCACACATCATTTGCAAAATATAGCCAGGTAAAAATTATGAAACTGATAGCACAATATGGACTTGAAACTGGTCCCAAATTAAAGACTTAAATGAAAAATTGCTGTTTATGGATAGGGCAAGATTTTCATGAATGCACTCATGACTGATAATCTTAATCACCCTCTCTCCACATTTATGCTTTACAGAAAACACTGCATTAAAAATGGAGCCCCACCCCTCTCTCTTTTTTTGCTAACAATTCTAGTATTTCATCCCATTTAATTTCTCGTCTCATACATATATGTGCTGAATGTTTACATCTTCCACAACAGTGCACAAAACAGACATCTTAGGAAATTAGGTACAAGCACATTTGCATCTCAAAACAGGTCAAGCTAAATCAATTCCACATAAATTATGTTTGTTAGACACAGGGATGCTACGGGCCTAGGGGCACAATCTGTGAAATTAGGCACGCTTCAACACCCTTCCAAAATGGCAAGGTAACTCTGCATGATTGCAGAGAGAGAAGAAAGTGCTGGTATGCAAACTTAAATCGTGCTCCATTCTTCTTAATGAAAAAAGCGCCAAATGTATTAATGCCCCAAAATACTATGTATAATACATTAACTCCTCATGTCTGAATATGTAAGGAATTGAAAGGGATGATTTTTTAGATGGTCAGCCCCTCAAGACCAGGATTTTACAAATACTAATAGCTGTATCCTATGAAGTCATTGAACAAGTAGAGAAACATCCACTTACGCAATGGAATTTAACCCTTCTAGCCCCCCCCCCAAAGCTGTCTGGAGGTTCCTCCAACCCCCAGGATCTCATGTGAGGTGAAGGGGGCACACAGAGGGAGAAGAGGCATGGGACATTCTATCTCATGAGCAGAAGTTGTTCCACTTGTACAACGGCTGTCAGATTCAACGCTATGTGCCTACATGGTGATGTGGCAGAAAGGAAGGAGGGCGGAAAGTCTCTCTTCTATTTCCTTCACACACTTTTGCTGCTGTTCATATCACCAGTTTAAGGGAAGGAATGGAAATGGATAGTGTATGGGAGGTGCTGAGACTGGGAGGGGTTGGCTGTCTTTTGAGAACTGGAGGCGGCAGAAGCAGGCTACCCTGTTGATTTTAATCTGTACATTTGGGAGAGCTGCTCTTCACCCATCCTTGTGTTTTTTGAGAAGCCACCCATGCTACATGACAAACAGCTTTTTAAAACTAATTTAAAAAGAAGTTTCTGACATAATAAACAGGTCTGCTGGTTTAAAGAATCAAAAGAGAAAAGCACTGGGCATGCCTAGAGCAGCTCATTGAATAACCACCACAGTGGTTGTCATTTGATTTTAGCAACTGTAATTCTGTGGTGATGGTAGGACTGGCATTACTTAAGCAGCTGCACATGGGAGACCAAATGCCTACTTTGCAACACACATCTGCTCTTGGAGAAGGGAAGTGAGGCTTACCTGGCAAGGCCGTTTTTCTTGGCAGGTTGGAAGACAGGACTCCTAACATCCCCTTGTTATCTCTGGGTTGGGGGAAGGTTGATGCACCTGAAAGAAACCACACAAGTGAAACATGCTGAATTGGCATGCTTAATCTACGTGTTTATGGTCTAAAATCTAGACTGTTGGATCTTGTGGGATGCTCTGCAAGGGGCTTCACAGGACCCAACCATCAGCTATTGGGCAGATGTTGCAAAGCCCACTGGAAAGCACTTTACACAGTCAGTTGGCTGGTGGTGCCTGCAAACTCCATTTGAGCTGAGCCAGGTTTTCAGGCAGGTGGGCATGGCTTAGCTGAAATGGCCTTGCAGGCCAAATGGCGATGTCTGGCCAGGCCCAGTATACCCGAAGGAGCGTCTCCACCCTCATCATTCTGCCCAGACACTGAGGTCCAACACCGAGGGCCTTCGGGCCGTTCCCTCACAGCGAGATGCCAAGTTACAGGGAACCAGGCAGAGGGGCTTCTCGGTAGTGGCACCTGCCCTGTGGAATGCCCTCCCACCAGATGTCAAAGAGAACAACAACTACCAGACTTTTAGAAGACATCTGAATGCAGTCCTGTTTAGGGAAGCTTTTAATGTTTGATGCATTACTGTATTTTAATATTTTGTTGGAAGCCACCCAGAGTGGCTGGGGAAGCCCAGCCAGATGGGCCCACCCCAGACCTAAAAATTCATGGAATGAATATTTTCCGAGTATCTCTCTCTTGTGGCCTGATATATAGCAAACTATCCCCCCCCAAGATTCATATAAGTGACAATTAAATTAAGTCATATTACAGACATCAGGTCAGAAGACAGCAGAAAACAGCAACACTATTTTTAAAGAATCAATCTGTTCAAATATATACATATAAACAGCTTGATGAAAAACAGTTACTGAGTTGCTGAGTAAAAATTGATCAATAATTTTGGAATGACTGACAAATCATATTAGAAAGCTTGTCTTCAGAAACGACAAAAATATTTGCAGTGCAGAAGGGTAGGAGTCTCAATTTGTTGATGAAAAACTGAAGGATCCTCCAGGAGAGGCACGATAACGACACAAGCTGATAATGAAAGGGTCACCCATGCAAGTTGCTTAATTAACTCTTTTTATGAAATGAAATGCTTGCAGTCAACTGTGAATTCTATTCCCACAGCTGCGAAAAAGCTGTCAGAGCACATGATGTTTCTATCACCAAGGCAAAAAAAATATTTTTTAAAAAGTGGGTGGCGTAGAACTGCTAAGTGTAAACAGACACCATGATTTCCTACGGAGAAGAGTTTCACTTCTGGTGGATTGTCCACTGAAAACCTATGGAGCAAATTGTACAAAATGGTTGCCAGATAAACAACAATGATCATGCCACCACAAGATCCCAGATTCTGGACATGTCATGTCCCTTCAGTACTACAAAAGCTAGATAGCCACATCCTTGCACTATATCCTCATCTATTTGTTACGTCCCCGGAAAAGACCCTGATGTTGGGAAAGATTGAGGGCACAAGGAGAAGGGGATGACAGAGGATGAGATGGTTGGACAGTGTTCTCAAAGCTACTAACATGAGTTTGACCAAACTGCGAGAGGCAGTGGAAGACAGGAGTGCCTGGAGTGCTCTGATCCATGGGGTCATGAAGAGTCGGACACAACTAAATGACTAAACAACAACAACAGCTATTAGTTCACTTGTTCCTGCCATAGAGAGGAGAGAACAAACTTCTGACTCCCCTTGTCTCCCTGTTTCTGTCTCTGTTTGTTTGTTCCATCCCTTCTCCCGATTCCTCACTCTTGTGTATGGCTGGTGCCATTTTGAGCTGACACATGACAGCACTCACAGCCTCAACACTCAAAAGAGAAGGAATAATGATGGGAATTCTGAAATAGGTGACTGTGTGTCACCCATATTAATTATCAACCAGGTATGAATTATCAACTACTTACATTTATATCCCCAGTAAAATATATTTGCAATTATAAAAACAAAACAAAAAAAAGCATTTGAAGTGGCTTGAAATGTAAAACAAGAGGGAAAGAAAACCCCAAGAAATTACAATCAAACGCAAGCTGAAACAACAACATCAACACAAAAGCCACATGGACAAGGACGAGTCACGTACAGTGGTACCTCGGGTTACAGACACTTCAGGTTACAGACACTTCAGGTTACAGACTCCGCTAACCCATAAATAGTACTTCGGGTTAAGAACTTTGCTTCAGGATGAGAACCGAAATCGCACAGCGGTGGCACGGCGGCAGTGGGAGGCCCCATTAGCTAAAGTGGTATCTCAGGTTAAGAACAGTTTCAGGTTAAGAACGAACCTCCAGAACAAATTAAGTTCTTAACCCAAGGCACCACTGTAAAACTTTTCTGTCCAATGGGCACCCTGCAAATTAAGCTATGAGCTGATTGGGGGAAGCCCCACATGATTAGCCCCATCCATGTGGGTACCATGTTCATACATAACTATAGGGCAGCCAAGTGAGACGGCACCAGAAAACAGCTCTAATGCAGCACTCTTATTCATGTGTGTATGTGTATGTGTGAGAGCAAGAGAGAGAGACAGACAGACAGACGGAATGAACGAATGAATGAATGAACAAATGAATGATACACACAGAGGTATAGTAGAGGGGGAGACAGAAACAAGATCACATCATCTGCTGGTGCATCACCTGCAGTTACATCATCTGATGAAGCATCAGGGTAATGACATACTTCTGTGGTCCGAGAAGTGAATGAGGTGAAAACAAGGCTTTCAAGTTTTACAATCATTTATGACATATTAACACGGAGAGAGTTGCAGAAAATGAAATCAAGCAGCAGTTGGATAGTTATTTTCTTTTGATGGGGTTTCGGTTTCATGCTTGCAGCTTGAATAGTGACACGTGTGTGCAAGATGGTTTGCATATCTAATTGAAACCTAAACTTTGCATTTCAACACAGTGCTAAAGCCCAATGTGATTTTAAAGTTGAACCCAGGCAGTCAGAAGCAAGCATTCCATGCAGTTTACTACCAGACAGCTATCCATAAGACTGTGGTCAGACTGCTCTGCCTGCTTTCTTTTAGCAAATGTTTTGTGCCACTGGGGAAGTGGCAATTCTGTACTGATTTGTTTTGGATGTTTGTATGTGATGCCAATAAAAGGTTTGATGATGATGATTGTGGTCATGCCACACAGCTCATTAGAGACATGAACCTAGGTCCCTATAGCTAAATGCCAACACGTTAACCCCTACAACATCCTTTACCTGCATACCCTAATCAGCTGGGTATGACAGCTTCATTTTTTAGCTTTCCTTGGGGCAAGGGTGGCTGTCATTGTGAACTTCTGTGCTTCAAAATTTACCACCACTCCATTATGAGAGAGAAAGAGAAAGAGGCCTTAGGAGCACAAGACATTGAACTTGTTCTAACAACCCAGTTTGCAACACAATTTGAGTTATTCTGTAATGCAGCAGTGCTACTGTCAAACTGAGCCCCCCCCCTCCCTCAAGCAAAGACATAACAAATCACTGAAGCTTTCAGAAATCCTGTAGAGTCTCATCAGCTGGTTTTCTGATTAAATACTTCTTTCTTGATATTGTCAGACTGTTGCAGAACCATTCGACAATTCTCTCGTGAGCCACAAGAAACAAGATGTTTTGAACAAAACCTGTGGATGTTTTCTTCCTGTGGTGCTTTTGAAAGCTCGTCTTTGACAGATTTTGCTCCCAAAAGATTGATGTCATAATGGAAGTTACACAAAAAGAGATGAGGAGAAAGAATACAATGGATATGCTATCCTTTTAAAAAAAAACAACAGAAAATATTGTTATTTTACCCTGGAACCTCCCTCCTCCCAACACCACCTCTAATAGATAAATGAAGTTCAGCATACACAGGATAGTCTCTTAATTTGACTGGTTTTCAGAGGAGAAAATGCTGTATCAATACACCCACTGAAGCAGTTTTGAAACCTGACTTCAATATTTAAAGCTATAGTGGTACCTCGGGTTACGAACTTAATTTGTTCTGGAGGTCTGTTCTTAACCCGAAACCAGTCTTAAGGTGAGGCACGCTTTTGCTAATGGGGCCTCCTGCTGCCACCGTACTGCCAGCACGTGATTTCCGTTCTCATCCTGGGGCAAAGTTTGCAACCTGAGGTAACTACTTCCGGGTTAGCGGAGTTCGAACCTGAAGCGTTTGTAATCCAAGGTACCACTGTACAATTATACACCCATACAGCTTTGTAACCCATGGGAAGACTGCTACTGCTACCCAACTTGCTATTTCTTATTTCAAGGCAACTCATGAAAATGCATTATAAACATCTATACATTCCTAGACCTTTGCTGAAAACCATGTGAACTCTTCTTACCTGGTCATAAATCTATATTGAGAACCTTAATGCACCTGCATTTTTCTAATAATTGTTGAATTACGTTCAGAATGCAACTGTCACGCTCTGCCTCGAGTGGGAATATTTATCCAAAGGATTATTTATTTATTTAAAATAATCATCCTTCCCTCCTTCACCTTAGCCCCAAGAGTTAATAAACTCTGGTTTGATTTTTGTAAGAGGAAAGGGAAGCTTGTACAGTGGTACCTTGGTTCTCACACTTAATCTGTTCAGGAAGTCTGTTCCAAAACCAAAGCATTGCAAAATGGATTAATACGTTCCAGACTTTTAAAAACAACCCCTAAAACAGCAATTTAACATGAATTTTACTATCTAACGAGACCATTGATCCATAAAATGAAAACAATAAACTGCAGTCACACAATCAAACAATCAGTAGCTGAACTGGGTTCCACACAGACACACAAAAAAAAAAAGGGAGCCACAAAAATGCAAAATAAATAGCAAAAACAGACAGACTTCAGCGTAACACTCCAAATGGAAGCATGGAAAACCAGAGTGTGGCACTCAAATCGGAAGTGTAACACTCCAAACAGAAGTGTGGCACTCAAATCGGAAGCGTAACACTCAAAATGGAGCTTGTTCAGCTTCTGAAAAAAAGTTTGCAAACCGGAACACTTACTTCCAGGTTTTCAGTGTTTGGGTTCCAAGCTGTTTGAGTACCAAGGT